CCCTCCCCTCAGGTCCCGGGAGACCCCCGAGTGGCCCATAACACGGCGGTGCGGCTGCTGCGGGGGTCACAACAACCTGCCTTGAAACATTTAGCAGCAATTTCGCCCCGCGTTGGGTGCATCGCGGCGAGCAGGCGGGGGTGGGGGCCCATGGCCGCCGAGACCGGCCGCGCAGACCTCGGCTCGGACCAGGGCCGCCCCGCGCGGGACGCACCTCGAAGGTACCTCAAGCTGTGGCACCTTCACTTCCGCTTCCGGTTGGCTTGAAAGTGGCGCCACCTTCAAGCTCAGGCGCCTTCACTTCCGCTTCCAGGTTGGGTCTCGCCGGCGTCGACGCGTCGCTCCGAACGTGCCCTGAATTATTGACTCTGCCCTAGTCCGCGATAGAGGCGTGTTAGTCTCCTATAAACGCGCGCTGTGTGTGTGTGTATGTCACTTTCCTCGCCTGACAACAACACTTGAAACGCATTTAAACATCCCCCCCCCCCTTTTTCCGCGCCACTCTCCTCCAACCCCCTCCAGGTAGCGAGAGCGAAGTCGTCTAATGGAACTCTTTGCCCGACTCTTTGGGAAAAAGCTGCTCGCAGTTCCCAGTGGCCTATGGCTGCGCGGGACCACCGAGGTCTAGCCTAGCTGCGACCCACTCCTGCTGGCGTGCAGGCCGCTGCAGGGCCGCGGGGGGAGTTGTCTCTCTCGCTGTGTCAGCGGCTGAAACAGCACAAGAACACCGTCAGAAAGCCTAAGAGTGGCGACAGGGTAAGGAGTCCCACCGATACCCGCGTGCACGTGCAAGTAGGGATGCATCAGCTTCCATGTGGGCTGCACAAGAAGAGCCTACAACAGGAGATAGCGCGAGTTAGTGAAAAGTCAACAGAATGCATTCCATCGGAGGAGCGTGATGCCGTACAGAAGACGGGGCAGAGCAGGGAGCTGCAGCAAAACAAGAAGAGAGAAGTGAAACTGGCGAGAGCGACCAAGCAGTCTAGTGAATATCATTTCTGTATATAGCTACGGACATCTACAACACTGTTACTTTCAAAGCACAAATGTAATAAGAAATATTTTAATTCTGTACTATTATTATATTGATAACAAAATGATATTTTATTAAACACCCAAATCGCATAAGTTACACAACATACAAATAAAAACTCTCAAGAACAAAGTTCGTCTCGATTAACAAGCGATTAACAAGCAAAACAAAAATCAATGTCGAAAATAGATTGTTCTTCATATTTCTCGATCGTAGCATCGTCGTGACCAATCTTCCAAGAAACCTGAATAGTTCTTCATCTTGGTCAGAGAAATGTATATCTCATGGCCAAAATGGCTTATCAAGAGCGTCTCATGTGGACATTACATACACATTTATTAGAGGTCCTCACGTGGTAAGCAAGAGCACTTTTCTGTTTGAAACGCTTGTGACAGGCATCACATTCATATGGTTCCTCACCAGTGTGGGTCCTGACGTGCGTCACAAGATTACTTCGATCACGAAACCGCTTGTGACAAATGTCACATTGATATGGTCTCTCACCAGTGTGGGTCCTGACGTGAACATCAAGAACACATTTCTGGCTAAAATGCTTATTACAAATGTCACATTCATATGGTTTCTCACCAGTGTGAGTCCTAACGTGCAAAGCAAGATTACTTTAATTTATAAACCGCTTGTGACAAATGACACATTCATATGGTCTCTCGCCAGTGTGAGTTTTGATGTGAATATCAAGAATATATTTCCGGCTGAAACGCTTATGACAAGTGCCACATTCAAATGGTTTTTCACCACTGTGGGTCCTGACGTGCTTAGCAAGATCACCTTTCTGGGCAAAATGCTTATTACAAAAGTCACATTCATATGGTTTTTCACCAGTGTGGGTTCTGACGTGCGTCACAAGATTACCTTGACTACTATACCGCTTGTGACAAATGTCACATTCATATGATCTCTTACCAGTGTGCGTCTTGACGTGCTTAGCAAGATCATTTTTCCTTTTAAAACACCTTTGGCACTCATTACACTTGTACGACCCTTGTCCGCCGTGAACACGCCCTGTTGGCAATCGGTTCCTCCGCTTCCGCTGCACTTGGTCCTTCGGCTGCTCTGAACCGCTGCTGTCCCCGGCCGCCTCCGCCTCGCCAGCAGACTCCTGGCCGCCATCCTCGGGTTGCTGCTGCAGGGCCTCGCCGTCCTCGCCGTCCTCGCCGTTGCTTTCAGGGTGCTGCTCGAGATCATCGTCGTCCCGGTGTCCGCCTTCTCCTCCGTCCCGGCTCGCGTAGCTCTGGCCGGCGCGGAGCGAGTAGCTTCCCGCCACCAGAAGCTGGCCGTCCTCGCCGCTGCCCGAACTTTCCGCACCGTCGGTCACAGTCACTGCATGGTGCGGTGTGACCTTCTCGTCCTGGTCAACTTGATCTGCCCGGTAGAGTGGGTCGCTGTGGCGCGGAGGGCGGTCTCTGCGGGCGTCGGTCCTCTCGGTGGGCCGGAGTCAGCGCCTGAAACAGAACAAGAACACCACAAGAACGCTACCGATAAAACACAATATCGTCATCAATTATATTCAGTTTTTAAGCGGTGACAAGACGGCAAAAAGACATGTTATCGACGCACCTTCTGGGCCATCGTCGTTCAGATTGAGCTCCTCGTGGAGCGAGGTCTTCTCGTCCGCGGCATCCAGCTTCACCTCGTGCAGTTGACTAGTGGGCTGCGGAGGGCGGTCTGTGGGCGCTGTCTCTCTCGCTGTGCCGGGGTCAGCGGCTGCAACAGCACAAGAACACCGTCAGAATGCCTAAGAGTGGGGATAGGGTGAAGAAGGAAGAAGTCTCCCCGACACCAGCGTGCACGTGCAAGTAGGGATGCATTAGCGTCCATGTAGGCTGCACAAGAAGAGCCTGCAACAGGAGATGGCACGTGTTAGTGAAAAGTCAACAGAATGCGTTTTATTAGAGGAGCGTGGTGCCGTAAAAGAGGGGCCGAAGAGCTGCAACAGTACAACAGTACAACAAGTGAAACTGGCGAAAGAAACCAACCTCGCAGTGAGTAACGTATTACAATGCATGTGGCGACGGATATCTACAACAATGTTACCAGCAAAGCACAAGTACAATTTAAAAATCTTTTAATTCGGTACTATTATTATATTGATAACAACACGACATTTTATTATTGGCCAAAATTACATTATTTACACAAAAAAAAAACAATCAGAAATGTCAAGAACAAAGTTTGTCTCGATTAACAAGCACAACAAAGATCAATTCAATAAAAGGTTCCTCTTGATATTTGTCGTTTGTAGCATTTTGTCGTGTTTTATCATCCAAAAGACATTAATATTCTTTCAGCTTTGCAAGAGAAATGTGAATCTTATGGCTCAATCAATAGAAATTATGGCTTATCACGAGCGTGTGTCATGTTGACATTGGATGCACAATTTTTGGAGGTTGTGGCGTGTTAAGCAAGAGCACTTTTCTGCCAAGTTTCCTGCCAGAGTGGGTCCTCACATGCTTAACAAGTTTGTTTTTCTGGTAGAAACGCTTATGGCAAATGCCACATTCATGTGGCCTGACGCCAGAGTGTGTCTGGACGTGGTAAGCAAGAGCACTTTGATCACTAAAACGCTTATGACAAGAGTCACATGCATAAGGCTTTTCACCAGTGTGGATCCTTACATGTGTATCAAGAATGTTTTTCTGTCTGAAACGCTTAAGACAAACTCTACATTCATACGGTTTCTCACCAGTGTGGGTTCTGAAGTGAGTCTCAAGAACACATTTCCGACTGAAACGCTTATGACATGTGTCACATTCAAATGGTCTCTCTCCAGTGTGTGTCCTGATGTGCATAACTAGATTGCTTTTCTTTGAAAAACATTTCTGGCACTCATCGCACTTGTATGTTGGTTTCCTGTTCTGAACATGCCCTGTGGACAATCGGTTCCTCGGTTTCCGCTGCACTTGGTCCTCAAGCTCCTCTGAGCCGCTTTTGTCGACGGCCGCCCCCTCTTCCCCACTACCGGCTTCCTGACCGCCATCCTCTGGGTGCAGCTCCAGGCTGTCGCCATCCTGCCCGTCGCTCTCAGGGTGCTGCTCGAGATCTTCGTTGTCCTGGTGACCGCCCTCTCCTCCGTCCCGACTCTCGTAGCTCAGGCCGGCGCGGAGCGAGTAGCGCCCCGTCACCACCAGCTGGCCGCCCTCGCCGCTGCCTGGACTTTCTGGACCGTCGGCCACAGTCACTCCCTGGTGCAGTGTGACCTCGTCCGCGCCCACTTGATTCGCCCGGTGCACCGGGTCAGTGGGGCGCGGGGGGCGCTCGGTGTAGGTCGGTCCCCTCGGTGTGTCGTAGTCAGCGCCTGCAACAGCAAGAGAACCCGCAAGGAACGTTAGCAAGGAAACGTAGTGTACCTTACCATCGATTCCGTTTCATTTTTGCTAGTGACAAGATGGCAAAATGACATGTCAGCGAGCGCACCTTCTGGGCTAACGTCATTCACGAAGAGCTCCTCGTGGAGTGAGGTTTTTTCGTCCTCGGTCTCCTGCTTATTCTCGTGCAGCGGACCAGTGGGGTGCGCGGGACGGTCAGTGGGCGTCGGTTCTCTGGAAGTGACCGAGTCAGCGCCTGCGACAAAACAAGAACACCGTCACAAACTCTGAGAGTGGCGATTTTTTTATGACCCCCCCTCTCCCACCCTTTTTCTCCGACACCAACATGCACGTGCAAGTAGGGATTCATCAGCTTCGAGTGGGGCTCCACAAGCAGGACCTGCAACAGGAGAAGGCGGGTGTAAATAAAAGGTCGACAGAATGCATTTTATCCATGGAGCGTGGTGCGGTATATGGATGTCACTATTATGCATGTGGCTACGGACATCTACAACATCGTTACCTTTAAAACCCAAGTGCAATGAAAACAAATTGATAATTCTGTACTGTTATTGTTGATAACAAGCTGAGATTTTAATATACGCCAAAATTACATAATTTACACAAAATACCAACTGAAACTTTCAAGAATAAAGCCTCGATTAACAAGCAAAATAAAAATCAATATCGA